CTAATTGGTTGGGTAGATTACAGGCTTGTCTTGAGGACATAAAAATTGGATGACTCTAAACTTCTTGCTTTTAAATCAAGACAAGACGGAAGTTCTCATCTTTGGACCAGAAATCCAGAAAAGGAAATTGCTTGGCCAGTCGCCTGACCTTAATGGCATTACGTTAATCTCCGAGAACAAAGCAAGGAACCTTGGTGTTATCTTTGACCAGGACATGTCATTCAAATCCCAGGTTTCACAAGTTTGTCGGATTTCCTTTTTCCACCTTCGGAATATTGCTAAGATTAGAAGCATACATTCCAGGAGTGATGCTGAAAAACTAGTTCATGCATTTATTACATCAAGACTGGATTACTGTAATTCATTACTCTCAGGAAGTCCACAGAATGTAGTTAAAAGTCTTCAGCTTGTCCAAAATGCTGCAGCTAGAGTTCTGATGAGAATTAAAAAGAGAGATCATATCTCTCCTGTCTTAGCTTCCCTACATTGGCTACCTGTTAAATTCAGAATAGATTTTAAGATCCTTCTTCTCACATATAAAGCTCTTAATAATCAAGGTCCATCATACATCAGTAATCTGATTGTTCCATATGTTCCTAACCGAGCACTTCGCTCACAGACTGCAGGTCTACTGGTGGTTCCAAGAATATCTAAACTTAGGATGGGAGGCAGCTCTTTTAGTTATCAGGCTCCTCTCCTGTGGAACCAGCTCCCAGCTTTAGTCTGTGAGGCAGACACTTTGTCTACTTTTAAGAATAGGCTTAAAACATTTTTATTTGATAGGGCCTATGGTTAAAATCTGATGTTAGCCTAAATCTGGACAAGTGGGGGATTACAGGGAGGTGGAGTGTACAGTCGGTAAAGACGGCTCTCCCTTGCCCTGCCTCCAACATGCCTATATCTAAATAGGATAGATTATCCAGAGTTAACTCTGTAGTTATGCTGCTATAGGCTTAGACTGCTGGAGGACACACTGACCACTTTTCACACTCTACTGCTTTATTCTACAGTCTGCTCTTTAACTGTACTATTTTGTGCAATTTCAAATGTTAACTTTATTTTCTCTGTAAGTGTTTTTCTCCCCAGAAGAAGCTACAATGACGTTCTGCTGAGCTGTGGTGGCCTCATGGAGGGGGCCATCGACTAGCACACTGCTGCTAACCACTAATACATTCTCTCTCTCCTGATAATAACTTTTTGTTTTCATTAACTTTTGATGTGCTAATACTAGTTTATCCGTTTAATTATAGATCCACTAGGATAAATACAATAAAGTTTATCTTTCACCAAATACAATATTTACTAAGACATCACAATATAACTATAGACACATTACTTGTCTTTGTGTGTGTGTGTGTGTGTGTGTGTGTGTGTGTGTGTGTGTGTGTGTGTGTGTGTGTGTGTGTGTGTGTGTGTGTGTGTGTGTGTGTGTGTGTGTGTGTGTGTGTGTGTGTCTGTGTCTGCCTGCTCTGTCTTCTCGATCCCCAGTGAGTCGTGGAGGATGGCTGCTTATACTGAGCCAGGATTCTCTGGAGGTTTCTTCCTGTTAAAAGGGAGTTTTCCTCTCCACTGTCGCTGCATGCTTGCTTAGTATGAGGATTGCTGTATAGTCACTGACACTAATCAGTGACTTAATGCAATTTGCTGGGTTCCTTATATAGGAAACATTATTTCTGATTGGCTTAATGAACTGTGAATTGGAATGTTTATTATGTGAAGTGCCTTGAGACGACTCTTGTCGTGATTTGGCGCTATATAAATAAACTTGAATTGAATTGAATTGAATTGACTGAAAATTATGCTAGTCAGCCAGTTACAGCAGGGGTCCCCACAATTTTGTCTTTGCTGTGTCATGTTCCTGGGAAGGTGTTTAACCCACGACATGAAGAACCATCACAGGACAAAGGCAGAAAGTTCTAACAATGATTTATTAACCATAACTAAAAGTGTCCTGGAGATATCCAAGTATGAAGTAGTCGGCAAGAGTCCAAAAGCCAGCAGGGAGGGCAGACGGTGTGACGGGGTGCGTCCAGGAGAGGGAGCCAGATGATGGCGGCAGAGGGCAAGTGAAGAAGGAGGAGAGGTGAACCTTGAGTGTGTAATCCAGGCGGGTTATGGTGACTTCCAGGTAGGTACATCCATCAGTGGATCAGCGATTCCAAGTATCCGTGAGTAGTTAATCATCCAGCGATGTGAAGTGGTTCCCTCTCCTCTTAAATAGAGCTCTGCTGCGGTTGATTAGAGGATCTGCAGCTGCCGCTGATCGGTAATGCCCCGCAGCTGGTGAGTGCCCTCTCCTGGAATGACAGTCTTACAAAGATGTTGTGGAGAAGAGGGAGTACTCACCCCGTCACACAACATGCTGAGGTTGTGAGGTTAGCAAGATTTTGTAAAAATTACATTTTAAATTGTTTTGCATCTTTGCAACTGGACTTCATCAGAATTTAAATGTTACATGGCAGCAATTGAAATAAAAAACAGCTTCTAAAAGGGCACGCAGCAGTTATATATATATTAAGACATAATCCAGCAGCTATATATATAATGTATATATAAAAATATATAAATATATATGTGTGTGTGTGTGTATATATATATATATATATATATATGCATATGTGCGTGTAGCCTGCCTTTCTAAATCTGAGACATAATCCAGCTCCCCCATAGCCCTAGTGACGATAACAGACATTGAAGATGAATTAATGACTGAGATGTTGATGATTTTATTTTACATGTTATTGATGACAGATTGGTAAACTAAACCAAACAGCAAAACACCAGGTACTAATCTGTGTTGCACATGCAAGACACACGGATATCTCTTTTGTCTCTTATTTCATGCATGAAAAACTCCATATCATCTTTGTTTGAGAAGGTGAAAATGAAGGGAGACCGAATTTCATCCTCATCCCTATCCATGTCATGTGTAGTCATGAACAGTTCCTGCATTGTGATGGTCATTGCTGCGTCGTCTTCATCCATACTGATGATGTCTGGTGGGATAACCTTTCCAGCAAAGTGTTTTTGGTTTTCCTTCACCCAGTTCCAGGCCACCATAATGCCTCTCATCACAGGCACGTCCTATATGCAAAATGATAATGAATTCAAATAACAATGAAATTAGTCATGTTCTCTTCATTCAATACAAATACATAAAACAACCAATTTAAAAACAATAAACATTCACTAGATGCTACACACCTGTATTTCTTTTCTTGGGTGACCTCCATAGTGTCTGGCTCTGTTGGGGTGGGCTCTCCTTGGGTGACCTCCATCATTTCCGGCTCTGGTGAGCTGAATTGACTTTGAAGAAAAGATTGCAAAAAAGATTTTTCCCATGATATATTACAAACTCCCCATGTACTTGGGACTCACATCTTGGAAATTTCCTGCAAAGGATTCATACCCAGCCAGAGGAAATGTCTTCAGTAATTGTTGGCACCACCAACTCCTGATTACGGGCATGTCTGACTGATAATATATATAAAGTGAAAAGTTGTTAATATAATTGAAATAGGTCTTGCAGTGCATTTTTTAAAAATAACTATACAAACTCACTGGAGCAAAATCAAAAGGCATGTCCAGGGTCACATAGAGGGCATACTGAAAAACAAAATTCAAACTCCAATGTTACATCCACAAATCTGCATTTGGAACACACAAAGACCATGGCATTTAAATTGTAAGACCACTGACCATCATCATGTATGCCCCACAGTCATTCCATCCCCACTGCAGTGGTGCACCCTGTCAATAATAAGACCACATATATTATCTATAGTTATTCTTTCATCACACTCCACAGCAGATAATAAAGGTTTGTGTGCAAAGATGTTAAAAACCCGTACCTTCAACTGACTCAATGTTACACTGTTCCAATGGCCTGGTGAAATGTGATTAGCCAAGTCGCTGTCATAAAACAACACTACAATATAAATGCATACAGTACGGCCCTAAAGCCAAAAACTAAGTAAACATACAAGTCAAAAAAATAAAGAGTTGGGGTTTAAAACAGAACTACCCCACCTCATGTTGTGTTTCAGCCAGTGGTTTTAAAATGAATTGGTCTAATAAGATGACCATTATTTATAGATAACCATACCCAACTGGCTGAAACAGGAACATATGGCCTTGAATGGAACTGCCATACCCGTCATCATGAGTGACAGACTCCAGGAGTTTTATATCCTCCTGACCTCCATAACATTGATTCCCTCACTCTCTTTAAAACCAGACTCAAAACTCACCTGTTCCGTCTAGCATTCAAATAATTACTCTCGTTGCTCCAATCTGTCTGTTTGTTTTATGCTGTTTTATCTTTTATTGTTGTGTATTTTATCTCTGTAAAGTGTCCTTGAGTGTTCAGAAAGGCGCTGTTGAAATAAAATGTATTATTATTATTTATTATTCCTTAGCGGTGACTTTATCAATAACTGGCACTTCAAAGAGTGTCCACCAAGGCAAACCCCTTTATTTATATGGATCCAAATCAGAACCTAAGTTATCCCAAAACAGTTCTCAAATAGAGGATGTGTAGACTGTAGCTTCATCATATTGACATATGAGAAGCAAAACATACTGATATATCCAACGCCTGGAGTTTGTTTTTCATGTTCAAACTGGAACAAACCATGCAGAAGTAGAAAACTTCTTGAAGAATTTGATTGGAAACTCCGGAATGCTTTGTAATGAGAACAAAACCTGAATATGTCTCTGTAGCTCCCAAGTCCAAAGTCTACAGAGTTCATGGAATCTAGAAATAAAATCTCTTTTGACTTTGGCTTGAGTACCTGGAAATGCAGATGACATTAAGACATGCAACACCTGAGAGACCACAACGCAAAAAAAAAATAAAATAAAAAAACTACAAGTTTACAAAAGAAAAGGAATGTGTGTATGGCATGCTAAAAGAGACAAATATAGTGATGGGTTGAAAAATGCAAATGTAACAGAAAAACAAATGCACATCACATCAACAGCTACACATCCACATACATGTTAATAAAGTATCTCACTTGGAAAATTTGCTAACTTACACACAAAATCCAGTGCCCGGACTCCCACGAAGGGAGTAAAATGATGTCCTTTGTTCCAATATTGTCCTGTGTATTGGGATAATGATATATACACACAGAAGTACTGTATATATATGTACACACAAACAATAATTTAAAAAGAAACGTACAGGTAAAGCTGCAAGGGGATCATTGTGAAATGGTGGTAACCAGGTAACCACCAAATAGATGCTGAAAGTGTGGACGTCTTTGCCCTGAAGAGACAGAAACTAGTAGTGCTACAGTTTTTTTAGAAAATGTAGGAAAAATGTATTGTGTAAAGCCTGTGACAAACTCCATGAGAAGTGAGAAATTTCTTCTTAAGGCCACAAGGCCTCCCTGCCAAAGGCTTAATAATACCACACAGAACAAAAACAAGCTGACCTGTGAAGCTCCAAGAGCAGTTATGACTTGAAAGCACTGATCAGCAATCTGTTAAAAGAAAAGTAAGGTCATTACTAAAAGCCGATGTATTCATGTACACCACATGCATGGAAGTGTACAATTACCTGTGCTTCAACCTCTTCAAAGGCCAAAGACCAGAAATCACATCTTGTTAATGTCCGGCCTGGGCTATAAGAAAGTACAGGTGCTGGCCAGTAAATTAGAATATCATCAAAAGGTTGAAAATATTTCAGTAATTCCATTCAAAACGTGAAACTTGTACATTATATTCATGCAATGCACACAGACCAATGTATTTCCGATGTTTATTACGTTTAATTTTGATATTTATAGGTGACAACCAATGAAAACATCAAATCTGGTATCTCAGAAAATTAGAATATTCTAAAGGCCAATGAAAAAATGTTTGTTTCTCTAATGTTGGCCAACTGAAAAGAATGAACATGAAAAGAATGTGCATGTATAGCACTCAATACTTAGTCGGGGCTCCTTTTGCCTCAATAACTGCAGTAATGCGGCGTGGCATGGACTCGATCAGTCTGTGGCACTGCTCAGGTGTTATGAGAGCCCAGGTTGCTCTGATAGTCGTCTTCAGCTCCTCTGCATTGTTGGGTCTAGCGTATTGCATCCTCCGCTTCACAATACCCCATAGATTTTCTATGGGGTTAAGGTCAGGCGAGTTTGCTGGCCAATCAAGGACAGGGATACCATGGTCCTTGAACCAGGTGCTGGTGGTTTTGGCACTGTGTGCAGGTGCCAAGTCCTGTTGAAAGGTGAAGTCTGCATCCCCATAAAGTTGGTCAGCAGCAGGAAGCATGAAGTGCTCTAAAACTTCCTGGTAGACGGCTGCATTGACCCTGGACCTCAGGAAACAGAGTGGGCCAACACCGGCAGATGACATGGCACCCCACACCATCACTGACGGTGGAAACTTTACACTGGACCTCATGCAACGTGGATTCTGTGCTTCTCCGCTCTTCCTCCAGACTCTGGGTCCTTGATTTCCAAAGGAAATGCAGAACTTGCTTTCATCAGAAAACATAACTTTGGACCACTCAGCATCAGTCCAGTCCTTTTTGTCCTTGGCCCAGGCGAGACGCTTCTTGCGCTGTTTCTTGTTCAAGAGTGGCTTGACACACGGAATGCGACACCTGAATCCCATGTCTTTCATGAGTCTCCTCGTGGTGGTTCTTGAAGCGCTGACTCCAGCTGCAGTCCACTCTTTGTGGATCTCCCCCACATTTTTGAATGGGTTTGTCGTCACAATTCTCTGCAGGGTGCGGTTATCCCTAGAGCTTGTACACTTTTTTCTACCACATTTTTTCCGTCCCTTCGCCTGTCTGTTAATGTGCTTGGACACAGAGCTCTGCGAACAGCCAGCTTCTTTAGCAATCACCTTTTGTGTCTTGCCCTCCTTGTGCAAGGTGTCAATGATTGTCTTTTGGACAGCTGTTAAGTCAGAAGTCTTCCCCATGATTGTGGTGCCTTCAAAACAAGACTGAGGGACCTTTTAAAGGCCTTTGCAGGTGTTTTGAGTAAATAAGCTGATTAGAGTGGCAGCAGGTGTCTTCTATATTCAGCCTTTTCAGAATATTCTAATTTTTTGAGATACCAAATTTGGAGTTTTCATTAGTTGTCACTTATGAATATCAAATTTAAATGTAATGAACATTGGAAATACATTGGTCTGTGTGCATTGCATGAATATAATGTACAAGTTTCACGTTTTGAATGGAATTACTGAAATATTTTCAACCTTTTGATGATATTCTAATTTACTGGCCAGCACCTGTATGGATCTTTGTTTTTATCCAACACATACGCCAACTGGAAAAAAAGCATTTACACACACAAATAGCACAACAGAAAAAAAATAATAAAAATTTACAAAAGTAGACTACATATTTATGTATATTACTACAAAATTATACATCACCAATTTCTGTTGTGCTGGGAGAGGGTTAACAGCCCATATCCTCCTGTTCAGTTGGTCAGATGTCTGGTTAGGTGTTAGACCTGGAAGCAGGTCAGACATGCTTGGACAGTCTGAAGAGTACATTTATGTCAGTGTGGCAATAAAACATTTGAACAGTCATCATATAACCTTCTCTGTGAAAAGCTTTTTATGATGCTTATGAGACAAAGACGTAATTCCATGAATTTATCACGCTATCCTTTCAAACATAAAGTTGTTACATACTATTGGCATGATTTTTGAAATTTCTTCTCAGTATTGTACTTACAGGGTTGTGTTGTTACATCTGCTTCTGTGGGTGGCTGTGCAGCTGTGGGTTTAGTAAAAGAAAATATTAGAATGATATAGAAAGTTATTTGTTTTAATTAGTGAAAAATATGAATTAATGAATGTAAATAATATTACCCATTACTATCTGCCCATTGTGATCCAACTGCAGGACATCCTCGCTCACCACTTTCTTGATGCTTTCTTCAGTCTTGTTGTTGCATTGTGTGTTGTAGTGGTGCAATATGTTGCGCATCATGAAGATGTGTTCAGACGGTGTGAGTGTATTCAGAAAGTAATTGTTCTTCCTCATGTCTGCAAATAATTGCTCAGCACACTGGCTGTTGACCCAGCCAGCCAGTTCAGGGACAAGTGCTATTCTTCGAAGGATGTCTCTAGGATCCTTTGTGTTTTTCTCATGGAAAACATCATACAAGGTATAATGTTCCGATGATCCTGTGAGTGGGTGGCAGTTTGTGTCTGCATCCTTTTTTTTACTTTTTAGCCATGGTAAATGGACCTTCAGCTTTCCTTCAGCGGCTGACTTTACATTATCATTGGATGCCTCAGCCAGCCGTCCCTCATGTGGGCTGAAAGGCAAATTTTCAGGTTCCCTCAAGTTGGTGTGTGTGGCCAGTCCCCTCGCAAAATCATAAATGGCAATGTTGGGAAAGTGCTTCCAGCTGAGCTAAATATCTGCATAGTCTCTGGGGCTTTCTGCTCTTAAATTAAATTTTATTGAATAGACAACAGCACAGGGGCACATAACAACTGCCCAGCCACCTATGGAAATGAAAAAGTTGAGTTAATGAGATTGCAAAACTTTTCTACACAAAATAACTGCCATGGATAAGTCTGTATTGTGTGTTACTCAGTGTGGTTCCATGATGTAAGTCCTGTGACAACTGTTGAGCTACTATGTACATATGTTTACTTTTTGAAAACCTCTCACAATAAAGATTGTATGAAGCATGATTTTATCACTGCACACTAATAACATGCTGCTCTTCAGTGAAAGATGTAGCCTACCTGATGCTCCCCAGACCTTCTCAAATATCTTATCATATGATGACCTGTTCTTCATCTCCTCCCGGAGTCTGAGAATAAGGTCCATCTTAGAACCTTTAGAATCTATGCCACATTGTTTGCATAGCTTACGCACCATGTCCACCTATTATTTCAACATAAGAAAAACAAACAAAATAAATAACATTGTCATTGAGTCCCAATGATGAATGAAAGTTATAAAATAGCAATTACCCGGAGGTTAATAAGGGCATCTTGGAGTCTCTCCTCTGTCATTTGGAGATCTGACATCTCAGCAGCCTGCCTTGGTGCATTTAACTTCTCATGCTCAGTGTTGAAAATAATGTCCCCATCTCTGCATTTTGGTCCAATCCAAGGTGCCCAATTGTGATATGATGGCAAAACAAGAAAGGGATTCTTACGACCACCTGGTGTTTAACAGAGTAACTTATCACACAAAAATTGTCTGGATAAATCATTCCAGAAGATTAATTTCTGACCACTATGTAGAATGAAGAGAAAACATGTCACGGAGTAAGGGTAAACCCACATCGATAAATATGAGTAGTAAAATGTACATTACCTAATCAGAGAGCTAGGGTGCTATAATGATGGAAAGTCATTCTTTAACAGAATGTCTTAAACTGTATTCAAGAATTGATATTATTCTTCTTACTGGAAATGTTATCAACTCACTTGTCAATAAGCCAGTACAAATGATCTGAGACGTCACAGAGTCATAGAAATCTTTGATGTTGACTCTGCCATCAAAGTCTGCTGGTGGAGTCTCCATCTCACTTACTGTAATGCCAAGCATTCTGTTAATCAAGCATTAAAATAGTTTCTTTACATGCAGTTTTTTCTGACACTCACTAGGCATATTGAAGACACCCTTCCTGTGCAGGTCCATGATAACCACAGGTGGATAGTATCCACACTTATAACTGGAGTATGAGTAGCTGTGAGCTGTCAGGGCTTCAAAATGCATGTATGCATGGAGCATTGTGGCCTTACTGGGGAAGGTCTGATTTTTAGTTTTCTCCAAGACCTCAATTGCTCGGCTTACAGCATGGTGTGTCTAGAACGGTAAAAGATAGAGTTAGGTACACATTCTAATCAATAACAAGGGCATTCCTTGCATTTTTTGCTTACCTCAATTGAGTTACGGAGATAAATACATAGATGAAGAGTGAGGAGTATATGGTCATTGAAATTATGAGTCCCATCACTCCACTCCTGGTATCGATAAATCAGCCCACAGTCGGGACATTCCCTGCGGTATGTAGAAAAGCCTGAAGAAGAAATCAGAAAGAATTATGGTAGACACAAAGTAGGTGTTAGAGGCTGACTTATTTTATATTGTCTATACATGTTATCTACAAGTAATTCATTGCGCATGTGATGTACAACACAGACTTTAGGTTTAGTTTGTATTAAACCTTGTAGTTTAGTTAATATAGATGAAGTTAGTCTCACCATGTACAACACCAGTGTATGCCACCAGCTTGACACGTGCTGTAATGAGCACTGGCTCATTAAGTTGGCCTCCACATTCTGCACATACGGTTTCTTTGGGAATCAAGTCCTTGAAATGTTTGGGAGCCAGTGACCAAATCCTGGGGGAGATTTTCCGGTAGAGCTTTGTTTTTCATTATGTATTTTACCATTCTCATGAGATCATTGTCACCAGGAGGATATTGTTGTCCTCCGACTGGTATTGCATCATCCTGCAGTTCTTCATTTGTCTCAGCAGCATCACCACTGTCAGTGGCACTCTCTTTGGTCCTGAACATTTCTCTGTCTGTCTGAAAGAGATGCCATTTAGCCACACTTTTGTGCAAGCACAACTGTCTGGGTTTGGCACATGGGCAATGCCATGACCTCTTTTTCATGTCGAAGGCCACCATTACCCT